GTGGAACACGCAGCCTCCAAAATTCCCAGTCTGGAATTTGAAAAGGGGGTTTATCCAAGAGCTGGGTGTTTTGGAGAAGGGGGGGTGTGTGTGGCGGGGGGAATTGGGTGGGAGAGGAAAACCTGGAGCCAGCTGTTGGAGGAGGAGGAGGGGTGAGGGGGTCAGCCAGCTGGTTGGGCACAGCTCCAGCCAGATGTTGTGGTCAGGATCGAGGAGGAATTCACGGGAAGCTCCCGATTTCCTCGACAGCTTCGAGCGGCGTCTCTGGGGCTGACAAAAACAGAGGGGGCTGGAGCAAGCTGCATCCAGCATCTCTCCGGGCACCTGGAGGGTTTAGTTCAGGAAATCCAGAGTTGGGAATTCCTCGGCTGGAAGTTGTGACGAGTTTCCCATCCCTTCCAGGTCGCGGCATGTCCGGCCGGGGCCGGGGCGGCTTCGGGGGCCGCGGCAGAGGCCGAGGCCGTGGCAGAGGCTCGGCACGGCCGGCCCTGACCAAGGAGCAGCTGGACAACCAGCTGGACGCCTACATGTCCAAGACCAAGGGACACCTGGACGCCGAGCTGGACGCCTACATGGCACAGACGGATCCCGAGGCCGCCGACTGAGGGGGCTGGCACTGCCCCTTCTCCCTTTTTTCCCCCCCTGGAGAATTCAGACTTAGTGTGTTCTTCGATGTTTTGATACTCTCTCTCTCTGTTGTATTAAACTTTTTTTGGGATTTTTTTTGGTTTTTTTTAGGGGGGATCTATTTCTTTTGTGGGTTGGGTTTTTTTTGTCTTCCTCCCTTCCACCCCGAGGAAAATGGGATGGATCTGGTGATGCGTCCGTGGTGTGTGGGTCAGGCCTTGGTGTGACTCTGGAGCTCCGTGGTTGGGGTTTTTGGGGCGTTTTTGTGATGGATTGGGGGTTGGTTTTGGTGTTTTTTTTTGGAATGGCTCGGTTGGATTTTGGGATCAGCCCTTCTATTTTTGGATCTCCAGGTTCACCCCCTGTGGAGTTCGGTTGAACCCACCTGAAGCCAAACCCAAGGGCCAAGAGCCCAAGTTTAGCTGTTGTTTTCGCTCAAATCCTCTTATTCCACACCAGAAATTCCCGTGGCTTGGAGCAGGTGGAAAATTCCCTTGTTTTAGTGGAGGGAATGCGGTGGCAGCCCCGGGGATCCACCGGCTCCATCCAGGTGGGATCGGGCCGGTATCCGGTGACATTCCCGGTGGGGGCGTGGCCTGTTCCGGTCCGGCAATGTAAGCGCCGCCGCCATTGGCTGGCGAGGCGACCTCCGGTTGTTACGGCGGCTGCCATTGGCTGAGGCGCCTCACGCTGCTTTGGGTACTGAGGGGAACGGGAAAAATGGTGGGACCGGGAGTGAGGGAAGAAGGGAGAGGGAGGGATGAGGAAACCAGTGAAAGCCCTAAAAAGGAGAGGAGAGGAAAAAGAAGGTGAAAGGACCCCAACCGTGTTGTTTTAACCATTGCGTAATGGACGGGGTTGGGGTTTGTGGCCCGAGTCCCTCAGCGGTGAGCTTGTACCTCCAGATGTGCCGCAGATGTTGCTGCAGATGTTCCTCCAGCTGCGCTTCGTCCCCTCATCGTGTTTACATTTTCCATCAGCCCCACTCGGGACTGCATTTCCCATCAAGCCCCCAAACTCAGGACTACATTTCCCATCAGCCCCTTCACTCGGGACTCCATTTCCCAGCAGCCCCCGCGGCTCGTGAAGGGGCCAAGATGGCGGCGGGGAGTGGCCCCGCGGCCCGGGAGCTCTTCGCTGAGGGGCTGCTGCAATTCCTGCGGCCCGCCGTGAGACAGCTCGACCGCCACGTCCACAGCGTCCGGTACGGCCACACGGACCGGGCAGGGCGGGGGGAGCGCGGGGGTTGAGGGGGAAGTAGGGCTGGAAGGGGCAGTTTTGGGGGGGAAGGGATTTAGGAGCGCCTGAGGGAGGTGAAGAGTTTCGAGGGGCGGACCTGGGGGAGGTAAATGGCTGGGGAAACATCTTTGGGGGATCTGGAAGACTTTAGGAGCACCTGGAGGGGCAGTTTGGGGCAGTCAA